TCTCTCTCTCTCTCTCTCTCTCTCTCTCTCTCTCTCTCTCTCTCTCTCTGTGTGTGTGTGTGTGTGAGTGTGTGTTGTCATATTCGCTATACGCTAAAAAAGAAGCATGATTGTGCCAGACTGTTTCGTCGGACTTTCACCGACCCATCAGGTCTGTGTTTGTGCACGAGTACTTGTTGCATGTGTGGGCGTGCACGGGCATGTTTGTGTGTGTGTGTGTGTGCATGTGCGACCAACCATTGTGCTTCCTTCCCGGCATTCCTCAGTGCAGTCTTCTGGTTGTATTATGGTGTGAAGAGTCTGTGCCGGCAAACGCATACCAAACATTGCCCTCTGAGAACGGGGTGCTGCCACCTCATCCCCGCTTATCACCTAAGTGATGATGGAAATCCACCACACCTTGCGCCCCTCCAGTTCCAGTGCTGGGAACATGGGGTCCTCAGTGACCCAGCGCACTCTGCTAAATTTCTACCCCAGCTTTGTTATGAATTCCAACCTGGTGGCGTCCCCTGTTCTGGTGGCACCAATGAAAGCACCCTATGTCCATAAGCGTGCTAGGCGTTCTGGGAACGGCGTGAGCTCCGGGTAGCACTAGGGAAGAAGAGGAAAATCAACAGTTGCACATGTGCTGCTTGCAGAATTGCCGAAATCGTGCCTGCAAAATTTATTTGCTCCTAGGATACCATATCCATCAGCCACGTTTCTCCGAACAGTCCTTCAGAAGGGGGCGTGGATGATCGAGGAAAGAAAAACACATGATTTTTCCGGCTATTTTGTTTGTTTGTTTGTTTGTTTGCTTGCTTGCTTGCTTGTTTATCCATCGGCCAGGCTTGTTTGTTTGCTTGCTTGTTTGTTTGTTTGCTTGTTTGCTTGTTTGTTTGTTTGCTTGCTTGTTTCCACGACAATCTGCAAGGGACCAACTACAAAAATTGTTCCAAAGACCGTGGATGATTGCAGGACCCGTGCACCCACACTAACACACGGTGAGCACACAGTGCCAGGCCGTCTTAGGCTCTACAGGTCCATGATATGATAGAAATAAAACGTGGGAAATAGGGCATGAAGGGTCCCAGTATGCTGTATCTGGGACACCCGTTTCCCAGCAGGTGCCCCCCCCCCATCAATAGATTGGGGCAGCCGGCACCAGGCCTACTGGGGGGGGGAGGGGGGGGCCGCTGCTCGCATCACTACCCACTAGCATTCCAGGCACGGCCTTCAACGGAAAAAAAAAGAAAAAAGAGAAAAGGGCACAAAGGGTGATGGTATATCCAGAATAAAGCATGGGGTTGGGTGCCTCGGAATTGAGAAAGAACTGCAATGAAGGTGAGTCGGCCCATCGCCATCGGCAGCAGCCCCACATAAACATCGACCACCACCGATTAGGGGGGGAGCAAACATGCATCCGCTTGCCTGTGTGAAGTAGCTCCGCTGCAGGGGCTCCCTGCGTAGGCTTAGGAGTAATGGTAGGTGGGAAGTGAAAGGTGAAAATTTGAGACAAGAATATAGCTTAGCTTTATTTTCATTTTATTTTGTTAACTAGCTGGTGGTACCGGTGGTTAAAATCGCAGGGCTCACAAGCACCTCACATTTGCCCAGCGATACAAGCCTACTGGGCAAATGTGTGTTGGAAGAACGATAGTTAGCACGACAGTCAAGGTCCGTCAAAAGAGCAAAGGTGCACTGGAAGGCTAACAACCCCATCTGTTCGAGGAGCACAAGCCTTCCAATGTTTGCAGCACTGGGCATCAGCAGCATGATCAGCCACATTGCTGTGAAGAAAAAGGACATCGCACCCTCTCTCTTCTTTCCAGCCTATGTGACTGAATGGTACGCAGAGATGTACGCACAGATTGCGAGTTCGAATCCAGATGGAATGAAATGAATACGAGAATGCGGGGGCTATCACCTTCACCCCCCCTTACACAAGAAAGAAACCCTCTTCTGGGGACTCACAAAGCATGCAGCACAGCTCACCCCTCGTCCCCCCACTACAGTCTTCCCCCAAATACAATGCGCGGTCATTACAGCTGAATTTGGGGTATCTTTCAGTCTAAATACAGCTGTAATGACCATATGTTGTATTCCTGGGAAGAACGCATCCAACGTTGATAGGTCCAGTTGACATCAATAAGAGATGATTCTGGACGTATCTTCGGGGCAAACTTCTCCACACAGAGTGACATCATGCCCATTCCATCGTGGCAAATAGACTTCACATGCTAAACGTGGCCATCTTGAAGAACATCAATCAATAGTGGGGCAGTAGAGGTGCTCAAAAGAACGTAAGAGCTGAGTCCCGACGTTCGGGTGATTTCCCATCAGGCACATTCCCTGCAGAGACAACGAAGAACATCCCGTTTCGGCATCTCCATGAGAAAGAGATTGTACAAAACGAGGAATCGACACTGCAGCTGCAGGTCATCCAGGCAGGCTAGTAAAGACACTGGGCAAAGCAAGGGATTGAGGGTAGCACATTCATTTAGATTAATTCCTCAGCCACATTGCGGATAACAAAAGCCCAGAAAAAGTCCTCTGCTGCGGTAAATAGGGAAAGAGTTTCAAAGAAAGCGCATTTCCTCAAACACAAAGCGCATTTCCTCAAACACTTCTTTTATATCAAGAGAGTGTTTCATAGCTGTACCATGTCATAACGGGTTCACCCACATGTCATAAACTACACAGGCATAACACATTCTTTCACATTCTCGCTGTTCTTCTGAAGCCCTCCCGCATGTCATCACCTACAAAAAAAGACGTAACAGTGGTTCTTCCGCTTTCTCTGCGCACCAATCACTACTCTGCATCTGCAGTGTCTCTCTCTCTCAGCACATCCTCCAGACTTTCAACACGTTCGCTAGACTCCTTTGCAACATCCATCATAACCAACCTTGCAACTGCCACATTCTGCCACATTTAAACGTACTCAGGCAGGCTTGGTTCACTTAAACAACCAGTACTTTCCTCCCGACCATTGTCCTGCGACGCCGCAGTGCCCACCCAGCATCTGGCCGGATGTACCAGTCTGCAGTTTCGCGAGACCGTTTCTGCCTCCGGATGAATTCGGCGCAAAATGGCATGCTGGGACATCCGGCCGGAAGACATGGCACAAGCACTTCCGCGTTGCAGAGACGCTCGGGAAAGTACCGGTGGCTTAACAGGCATCACTATACTTCCGCTTACTCTCATTCAACGGATTTGAAAAACATATCCGATTGTGACAAATGCTACAACCTATTCATATATGCAAATATTACAAATAATGCAGGCTGTCCTCTCTACTCGCTACATGCAAAACACATAGCGCAGGATGCCCTCTCTACTCGCTACGCGCACAACGAAGCACAGGCTACCATACTACGAGAGATAGATCACATGACAAGAGAGAAGTAGCCACATTGTGCATCCTTTCAAGACATTATCTGATCCGCATAGTCACTTCGATAGACAGAGGATATCCCGAAATGAAGACATCGAATTGAAAGGTAATGAAATCCCGAGTGAGCAGTATTGGGAACGTGAACACACTCACTCTGTCACTGGACGCAACGTGATAGTTCTACTACACGGTACAAAATTTTCTTCATTCCTGCTATTGTAGATTTCTGATAGCCTGCCAGCAACCAGCAAACATATAAATGAGCTTTTGTGATTGCTACTGCCTTAGGTATCGCAAGCCAAGAGCATTGAATTACGTGCCTGGAACGGGTTTTCGAGCCTTCTGCCAGAGATCAGGAGGGGCCGGCCATGCATGCGCCTCGTCTTGAACCGCCCTTTAGAATGGGAGGACAAAAAATTATGCAGCTGGCACAGCTTTCCAAGCCTGCCACAGCTCAGTCAGAAGGGTCTGACACCTCTTCATGAACTGCTGCCCCCCCTCCAAGGAGGACCAGAAAGAACAAGATGTACGCAACGGCTGTTGAATGGCAAACGAGCTGTGTATGCTGCCAGAAGCGCATTCTCTCTCTCTCTCTCTCTCTCTCTCTCTCTCTCTCTCTCTCTCTCTCTCTCTCTCTCTCTCTCTCTCTCT